GTTGTTGTAATAAGGAGGGCAGCTGTGAACTGCCTTAATTCTCTGGCTTCTTCCTTGTGACCTGCAAAGTTTTACTGACAAAATGAGAAAAAAAATCATGCAGTGGCCATACCTCTGAACTTTATTGCTATTGCTCTGGATTAAGGGTAGAGAGGGCTAGCGTGACATTTGCATTCACACTATTTCTAGGCTGCTGTTGTCTGTGGGGCCATTGTGACTTAAATAAGTAGAAGGCATTCTGTGTTCAAGAGGATATGTCCAGAATGTATCTTTATTAAAAGGATGAAAAGGAAGAATCTGTTCAAAATTATTTCTAAATTATCACTAGGGTAGCTCTGGTGTAAAGTCCTGATGAAAGCTAACAAGGCTTCTCTGTGCGGATGAGAAGAGTCGTTTCCCCGGGAGCAGTCAGTGAGCTCAGCAGAGACGAAGGGATGAGGAGCTCATAGGATTGAAGGGTACAAATCCCAGGAATGGAAACCCGTGATTCGGGGTTGGGAGAATGTTGCCCATCTTTGAAATGATATTTTTTGCAAAGATTTGCCTGCTGGGAAGTAGCAGTTGAGCTCAGGGTTTGTTGTTTTTTTTTTTTTCTTGGAGGGAAGATGTTTTTAGGGATTTTTTTTAAGGTATTTTTTTGAGTGAAGGAAATGAGAAGTAGTGAGAAGGGATGAATGAAGGGTAGTGGCACCTAGGGGGGCAAGGGCAGGATGGCAGTAGAGACTGAGGAAAGGGAACAGGTCTGGAAGAAGTGATTCGGGTATCGTGAGTGAGACACTTAGATGCACAAGAGGTAAGATGATCAAAGCTGGGTTTTTAAGACAGAAGGAAGACATGTATTTGGATTTATTTATTTGTTTTATTTTGTTGTGGATAGCCGGTGCCTGTTAACTATCTCACAGGAAAGCGATAAGCAAGACAAAGCAGGGGGAATATTGCTGTTATTCAGGCTGTGATTTAGTACTACCCGTGCTCTTAGACGGACACAAGGTAAAATGACATCCTCAGAGGATCCACAGTACAACAGCTAACACTTCTTACCCTGTGATTTAAAGAAAAAAACCACAACAAAAAACCAGCCCCCTCCCCCCCCCAAAAAAACCCAAAACAAACAGAAATTAAGCCTTTTGGGCAATCAAGAAAAAGTAAAAAGCCAAACTGCCTTTGTGTCAGAGGACCTAGTGTTATTCAGTGGCTCAAGCCCTGGCTTGTGGCTTGGCAAGTACTGAAGGCAGAGCATTGCACGTAACAGGCCGTGTTTGATGTGCTTGTCTTGCTTATGAGCCGAACAGAGTGTATAATTGATACTGAAATAAAGTGTAGTGGGGCTTCATATATTTGTGTCGTCTGTTCATTTCACAATGGAGCATATATCCTGGTTGGAAAGCCCAAGCTCTTGCTAAATTTTAATTGCCTTCTCCCGCTGATCACACGGTAAGAGTTGTTGGCTAATTAAGGGTGGTTTCTAAATCAGGATTCTGTACACACAAAATACCCTGTTATTTTCTCATCTGTCTAGACAGGTCACCTAATCCAGTATTAAAATGCTGAAACAGGAGGGGAAAACATTTTTTTTTTTTAAGCTTTCATGTGAAGAATTTGCATGAATTCACCGAAGCCAGGATTAGGAAAGCTGTTACTTAAAGAGCTGAGCTGAAATGGTTCAATTTCTGTAGGACACAGATGTCAGAAAAGATGTTTCTTTACTGTGGCAGTTAAACTACGTGCATTGAAGTGTTATCTGGGGACTGGATGAGAAGTGGAGAGTGTTGTAGAATGTCTATGGGTTGTAATAAATCCTGAAGGCATTTCTAGTAAGAGTTATTTCAGCTGTGGGTTTATAATAGCTCACAAATGAGGAAGGACTAACCAGATTAAGATTTATTTCTTCCTGAAGAAGAGATGACTAGGTTCATATATGAAGGTCCTTTGCACGGAGGAGAATGTGAACAGGGAATGACTGTTCAGTGTTTCTTCTAGTTTTGGGGGATGTCCTCAATTTTCAGTGGGTAATGGTTTTGAAACCACCAAAAGGACATTAATCTTTGCATAAGGTTAATAGACTGTGGAGCTCCTCGCCACAGAATTGTTGTGAAGGTCAGAAGTATAGAAGGATTCAAAAAGTGGTCAACAAGTGCAAGGAGGGGAAGTCCCCGGGGTTCTTAGGTTCAGAGGTCTGGACATTAGCTGCACCTTACACTGTCCTTATTGGACTTACTGCTGGAAGCTGGTACTGCCAGAAGAGGGTTGTTCCTCTGTTTTTTAGCAGGACTTGCTGTGGCAGTTCTCACGTACCTTTTGATGACCGTACTGCTTTATCCTTCATATCCCAGTGGTGGACTTTCCCGAAGCTCTGAATACAGACATCCCAATGTTTGGGGGCTATCTTAAAAGAACCCAGAGAAACTTCGCTTCTTATCTTGTTAGATTAAAAGTCAATAAATTGACATGCTTGGGAGGGGAGGTAAAGTGATTGATGGCAGCCCAAGAAATGTAGTGTCCACCTCAAGAGAAGATGGCAGAAAAAACGTTTCTTTGTAGGAAGCCCAGCTCCTTTCTGTTGTCCTGCACAGGTAAATGGAGCAAAGTGATGCTCCCTTTTTTTTGTTTGGGTTTTTAACTAAAATGTTGTCCCTTGTTTCTGTCTGTGGTGTGTGTTTGTGCGGGTCTGTTGGGGAGCGGTCTCATCTTCCATATCTGATTGGTGAGGATTTAACCTGCACATCCTGGAGCAGTTCCCGACTGCCTCCTGAGGGAGGGCCTCCATACCTGGAGGGCCTCCATACCTGGAGTGCCATGTTCCTCTTTATCTTAACCCATTCTGAAAATCCACTTTCAGTGTGGATTAAGATAAAAAAAGAAGACAACACCCCTGTCCCAGATGAGGAAGGTCCACAAGAAGAATGGATCAGCATCAAAGCCAAGCAGAGACAAGTCCTAAGGTGTCTGCAACTGGAAACTTGACCCACCTCACCAGCTGCTGTAGGGAAGGAGCTTTGCATCCTCCACCCCTCTGCCTGCTCCAGGTCTTTACTGTTTCTTGTGGAACAGGGAAGAAATCGTTCACTGCTACTTCTTCAAACTGTTGTGCTGCTTTTGAATCCAGCTTGCTCAGAAGTCAGTCCAGTGGCAGGTTTCGGCTGCTCACAGCTTTTCCTCTTGTCGGGTGACCATGATTTGTGGCTCCTTCACCGTGGACTAGAAAGCATCGGGTGCTTGACATGTTTGACTTCAGCTTGGAAATAACTCTCCGATGTCTGTCTCCCTGTGACAAATATCTGCTAGCTGAGGTCTGTGGGTCAGGAGATGAAAACAGTGAGGTGATCGATGTAATCGCAGGTAGAAGTTTTTAGCGTGGCCGCAGCCAGAGCTGGCTCAATGTCACTTGTTCCGTTATCCAGTGGCAGCTGGAGCAGGCTGTACTGGCAGAAGCGGAGTTTGTTATAGGTAGTGTGATAATCTCTCCTGCAGGTGAGCCCAGATAGGGTGGGTTGAGCTGAAGTTGTTCCAGTTGAAACTAAATATGTTCTGAATAGTTGTCAAGAGCTCCAGTAGGACCACTCTACTTTTTGTAGCGCTGCTTAACTCTCTACTGACTGCAGCTTGGTGTCACCCCTGTTACAGAGAGCAGGAGATGCTTGGTCAACACACATAAATGCTTTAAGATCTCAGAGAAAAAGGGACTCTCCAAATGAAACCACTATTGCTTTGTGCTTCAGTAGTATACATGGTCGTATACTGCAATAGTCCGGCAGCGTCTTAAGCACAAAGATTTGACTCTTCTCCTGGTGATGCACGAGAGAAACAGGAGTCTTTGAGACTGGCCGAGTGTTGGGCAAACTGGGGCAGAGCTCAGAAGGCGTATCCAGCAGCTTGGCAACAGGTAGAGGCGTCATACCTTGGATTTCTCTGCGCTCGGTAAGCGTTGGGTAGGGAGGACGGTAAGGCTGGGAATGATGTGTGTGCTTTATCCAGATCTTGGGGCAGCAGCTGATTCAAGGGCCAATCCTGGGCTGTGTGTCTGTCCTTTGCAAGTCGGGACTGATGTCTTCTTGGGCCTGGTGAGTACGAGTCTCTGGACCCTGTTCCTTTGTGCTCTTCAGGGCAGGTGTGAACCTACCAGAACCAGATGACTGGACACTGACATTCATATATAAAGACATTGGTGATCCCTGATTAAGGTTTAAGCTTAACCATGAACTGAGGCCGTACTAAAATAAGGTGATGGAACCCAAGAACTAAGGGTATACGTTCGCAAAGAGGAGTTGTTGGATGCCTTGGGTAGGTGGAGGTAGAATTGGACTAGTCAGGCCTGGTTTGGGTTTGAACCTCTCTTCATCAAAGGCTGAGGCTGATCCTGATGTGGCAGGGCAGTGTTGGCTCCAGGGGCTGCATCATGTGGCTGTGAATTTTTCAACTGGCCCCTGCTGGCTTTCGTCTGTTGAAACATTTTTCCGTCTGTATCGTGTCTGTAATGATCGGTTTGATATCTGATCTCCATGCTTTGAGCTAAATCCTCTTTACCTACTCCTGTAGTTATGTGATCTGAAGCTTATGCTTTGTGGTTGCCACAGAGGCAAAATGAAGCTTCATCGCTCTGTTGTGGAACTTGTCGGCACTGGGCATGTGGTCTTCTTTTTCCTTTTTTTTTTTTTTAAAAAAAAAAAGGTCTTTACCACAAAATTGCCACTTTTGGAGGTTATATAAAGAGATGAGAGTTTGAAGATCCTTTGACTTCTCCGAAATAGCCTACATGGTACAAGAGGGTGGAGATTTCTGGAGCTTCCAGTACTGGTGCTCCAGCCCAAAAAGTTGTTGCATTCCCATTTGACCTCAGTTACCCTTACAATGCATCCCATTTCGAAGGCTGGGTCTAGTTCACAAGTTTTCTTTCTTTCCTGCTGGACCTTTTGTTTTTAATAGACTTCCTTAGGATTTTTAACTGCAGAGGGTAAGTTTGAGCTGAGATCCCTGAACACGCTTGTTTGCTTTTTCCGTAGGTTCCTTAGAAAGAGAGCTTGGACGGCATGCAAAGTTGTGAAATATCTGCAGACAGCACGGATGATCCTCTTAGTAGTGGCCTACGGAGAAAGCGACAACCTCGAATAGTCGTGATCGGTGCTGGGCTCGCAGGCCTGTCAGCAGCCAAAGCGCTCTTGGAAAGCGGTTTCACGGATGTCACTGTCCTTGAGGCGACTGACCGCATCGGAGGCCGCGTGCAAAGTGTGAGACTCGGTAAGAGCAGCGTTTTGAGAGTCATGCGTTGGGCTTGCTTTGTTCTGCCAGCGAGGCTTTGCGTTGCCTTTAGGTTAGTTTGGCCTCGGAAATGTGCTTTTTCGGTCGATGCGCACACGCAAAAGGTTATTTGAGGTGTGGGTATTGACAGGACGATAAATCCTTGGGCTGCTTTCAGGGCAGGTGGGTGCATCTGAGCTATCTTGTGCATCTCTTTTGAGGGAGGGCTGCTCCGAACCCACGTTTCTATAAAGTAAAGACCTTGGTGATCGTTTTCACTCCTACAGGAAGAGCTCTGTGTTAACGGGGCTGCGAGGAGCCGCCTGTGATTAAATAGCTGCATCAAGACAGTTTTCACCAACGTTTTCAAGCTTCACTCTTGTCTAGGAGCAGTCAGTAAATCTCCTGGCTAGTGAAGGGCTGCTTCTTGATGCCTTACATCACTTGCAAAGCGCAAGCTCCGAGCTGTTCGGTGTCACAAATAGCCCCATTCATTTCCCTGGAACTACTTTACTGTGTAGGGCACTACCCACTGTGAATCAGGCTGCTGGAAAAACCTCTTCAATGTGTCCTTTCATCCTGATTTGCAGCTCTCCTACCTCCGTGGCTTCCTTTCTCAGTGTGTAATAAAGGTGCAGACGCTGGATATTTTAATCCTGTGTCAATTGGAAGGGCTTGTAAGATCTCTAAATGCAAAACTACTGGAACAAACGTTGCCCTTTGTAGCACAGTAGCCCATGAAACTTTCCCTGGTATCTAGAAGGGCATTGCCTGTCTCTTCTCCGCGGGAGGGAAAAAGCTCTTCACTTTACTGAATTGCCTTCCTGATTTCAATTAACTAGTTCTGTTTCTGATCCCACTCCCTGTATTTATTAACTTTGGCCTCTTGCTGCCCTCCTTTCTTTTTATTTGTCAGGTGCTTACATCACTTACTATATTTTACTTGATAAACTCACCACAGTAAATAAACAGCAGCGTCCTATGAACTTTCAGAAGGGAAATGAATGAAAAGGCAGTCGGACAAATCTAATCTCCAGGGTTTGAATAGGGCACTTTACATTCTGCGGAGACTTGGCATAGAGGTTAGAATGGGAAGCGTGTCCTTTACTCACAGTACACTGCATTAAAAATATCCTGGATCGTGTCTGCGAGAGGAGGGAAGTGTTAAAGACCTGAAATCTTCGGGGAGCAGTAGATCATTTTGTCAGTGCACCTGTGAAATAGTTTTGTTGTACTAGTATTGAGACCAATTTCTCTCACCTTTTGGACATCTTTGCCTTTGCTGGGCATCACCTCCTGTTCCTAACACTTCTTAACTAACACGAGACAAGAGCAGGATTTTCAGTCTGGTGGAGATCTTGCAGTTTGTAGATGTAACTTACTTGCAGAGCAGAGGACTGGAATCCAAAGTCTTGATCGTTTAATACCTTTCTGAAAACTACAACTTTTTTTTTCTTCTCTTCTGCAAACTATCAAAGTTACACTGTGTGGGTCTGGACTGCAGTTCTCTCTCAAGGTGGGTCCCTGTTCTGGCCCCTTACATGCTTTCCAGATTCACATGCCCTTTAGCCAAACAATTTTGGAGCTCTGGTGAAATCTTCGGAAGCAGCACATCCTCAGAACCTCCTTAGTCTCTGGTATGAGGGCAAAAGGGCAGCATGGTCCTGGGCTGGTTTCCTTCTTCTGTACTGACCGGAGCAGCAAGATTACACCTGGGCCGTGCAAGACCTGCTCATTTCTCAGAACTGCCTAAAGCTTACAAAAAGCTGTTACAGTTTTCTGGTGGTTATTCCGGGTTTTCAACATAGGACCATTTTGATCTGCTTGTCTAAACGGCATTTAAATGTTGAATTTAATGTTAAATGTTAAATTTACATTCCCTGGCTACTCTGCTGTCTGCACACTTGACTAAGGATCCGATTTAAATCTTCCACAGAGCCGTGGTGGCACCTTCTCAGAGTTCTATCCGAACACTTCCACTCTCACTGAGCCATGCTCTGTCTTGCAGCAGATAGCATTTTCCCTCAGCTGCACAGAGTATTTTACTATGTTGTGTGTTGCTGCTCAGCACAGGGGAACAATTTGGATTTTCAGAGGTTTGGTTCATCACCTCTAGCCCAGGTGAGGCAGCGGGTTTGCGTGTTTGTGGATGGCCGGTGTGCTTCTTGTACGTGATCTATAACTTCTGTATCCACTGCAGATATTTCACGACAGGATGGCCAAGAAGTAGTCAGGGCTGCAAAGGGAAATGTGAAAGTTCCCGTGCGTATCCAGAAGGCTTGATACGCAGTCTGCCTTTGGGAAATGACTGGTATGGTATGTTGTTGTGTATAGGCTGTTTTGGCTGCTGCTTGGGTCTCGGTAATTACAGTCACAAAATAGGAAGCAGCTTTTTTTTCCTATTTTTTTTGTTGTATTGGGTGATTCATTCGAAGTAGATTAATATTGAAACTAGAATCTTTTAAGGCCCTGAAAGTAAATTAGCTATTTCTGTTCAAAAAGATGTTGTTTAATTTTACACTTTTAAATAATTTATTGTGTAACTTACAGTGGGTAACAACTGATGTATCTGCTTGGTAGTGATGTTTCTAGGTATTACAGTCAAGAATGCCTGTTTTTAATTTGTTGGTATTTGATTATATTTCACACAGCTACGAAAACAGGAGAACTTGGAACACATCGTAATTGTTACCGAGCCCCAATACAGCGGGACCTGCTGGTGTATTTTTTTCTTTCAGCGATCGAGTCCCCCATAAATAAGAGCTATGCGCAGGAGGGTTGTTAGTGTAGCCGAGAGCGAGCCTCTGCCATAA